ATTGTTAGAATGGAAGCTGAGAAGAGAAAGATCGCCATTAAAAAAAAACGTTAACAGTTTGGCCGTATTAATTTACTGAATACACATCGAACAGGACAGTCAAAACGGTAAATATGTATATATCTTGTTATATATTTCTTTTAAAATGTCATTTACCATAAAATATATCATTTCTTGCAATTTATCTGAAATCAAAGTATTATTTTTTAATAAAAATACTTTTATACAACTTTTACTGTGTTGAACACATATTTGCATATTTGCTATTTAAAATAATAATTTAGCTGTTTAAATTTGTAAGTAACATTTAAATAATGAAAATTTTTATTTGTAGCTTAGGTCATCCTTCTCGTCAGATTGTACGATCTAAAAAATACATGACTACTTCATCATCAGATAAAGATCAAGTTAAAACAAGTCGCACAGATCAGTGTGATCGATCTGACCAGACTATCAACATTGAAAAGGATATTAGTGAAATAAGAGATGCATTAAACATTAATAAGGAAAATGAAGTTGCCAATATTCTCACTGAACATGCTTCTCCTCTCATGATTAATAATCCTTCATTCCAATTAATGAATCCAATGAATCCAGTGTATAATCCGCCAAATATTATCACTGAAGCTTGTGAACAGTATTCAGTACCCCAAAAGACGTATACTGAATTGTTACCATTGTTACCATCATCAGGTTTCAATGTATATACGAGTGAGAGTACATCTTTTCCTCATTCCACCTCAAGTCCACATGTGTACGAGTCTCGTAATGGAAGAATTTCTTACGAAAAGTCTTTTGGAACTGCTTCGTTCTGTGAATCTGTAGCTCCGCGAAATGTAGCACATCAAAACCAGGTAACATGTAGGATAATATCTTTATAGGCAGATCAAGTAAAATTCGGATTTGCTCAAGAAGTTAAATGTTTTATGTTGTAATGATAACTATTAATTAACAGGAGGAGTCTACTCGATTAATATCTACTTACATTAACTCAGAAAAAAACAAATCTGGTCAGAGCGATGAAAATAAATCACGAGATCAAGAAATAAGGTACGTATCCATGGCACA